TTCATGATTATTGCCAAAAACACTATATTGTAAGACTATTGGAAGACAAAATCAGTAGCCTTTTGAAATGCCTTGTTTATATTGGAATATATACAAGTAATGCTGAAAAATTTAACAGACTAAGAATAGTCCAGCTATGACTATGCAACTGTAACAGAGAATATAAGTTCTGTTATTTGCATCTGTGTCATCTGTGTTTATCTTTCTGTCTCTCTGTTGATTGTGTTTGTGTATCTGGGACTCTTATGCCCTTGTCTTTGATAGTAAAATGTAACTGCATCAAGGTGAAAGTATGACTGAGTTACTGTGGCCACGAACAGCCACATCTCCAATATGCATTGGCAGAGTTGGTTCCTTAGCTAACAACTGCTGTTACATGGGTGTTCTCTTGTGAGTGTGGTTGTTTTTGCTTTCCGCAAAGCAGCCTCACTCCTGTAGCATAGGAAGTTTTCCTGTGCTCCCCAACATCTAGCAGATGCCCTCTCTTCTCTGGAGCTGCACCTCACTGCAGAATCTCCACCCTTCAGACAATTTGCTGGTACCTTCCTTGTTTCTCAGGTCCAATAGGTGTTAGGTGCTGTGACTTAGAATCCTGGAGCTGATAGTTCACTGAGGAAAGTGAGGGTTACCTGCTGTATATGAAACCTGGGGAAAATTTGAGACCATGGAAGATAAGACTCTCAAATATGGAGTGCTCCTTAAGTCATCCAGAGTGTGTTGTAGTCACCTGCACAAGCCTTCTTTGAGAAGCACTGAATGGAAGCTGCACTAGCTGTATCACAGTGATTTAATAAAACTAAAGAAACAGTGAATCATGAATTAGTTTCAACCATGTGTCATTCATTCTTGTCCAATGTTGATAAATTGGTGTGGGTGGTATCACATCCCACCTTTCCTGGCACTAAGGGCCCTATGGAGAACCAAATAGAACGCTGGTCCACACAAGGTGATAATCTCTTCTCACCCACCTATGGAATGTTTTCAGTCCCTGAGAGAAGTGCTATGGAGATCTCCTGGGTTAGAAACTGACTGGGAAGTTACTCTGCATGCAAAAGCTGAACTTAGTTATCTCAGAAGAGGGGCTGTAGGATCTGAATCTGTCAGCCCTTAGGGAGATTTTCATAGAAGTACCCAATCCAGGTCAACACAAGCATTCCATGCCCTATCTGGGATCTTCTGAACAGCATCTGAACTGGGGTACAGCTACTAGGAAACTAAGTGTACCAAGATGCTTCCATGCATAGCACAGCTAGTCGGCCCAACATTGTTGGGAAGGAATGTACCTTCCTAGGTGATTTGGAATAACTACTTCTCAGCTAAGTTGTGGTGTGTTGTTAAGTGTCATTAAGCTATGGACGAACAGTCCCTTGAAAATGATGTGACACATAGCTACTTTTCAGGGCACAAAATAATTTAAAGTATGTAATTAAAATACTAATATGCTGAAGATTCAGGTATATTTTCTTAGTATAATGGAAAGAATATTAAAAGCAAGGATGTCTGAAGGCAAAGAAACTCAAGTGTTACCCAATCAAGATTCCTTGGCTCATTCGTACTAGAAATTGGCAAATAGTCAAACTTTAATCCAGACAAACTTTATGGGGAGCTTATGCTAGAGCACAGGAAGACAGCAAGGCAGAGAGAGGTTCCACTGACTGGCTCTCAGAATGGTGCTGAATGAGTGTTTTCATTGGGTTAGAGAGCCATTTTTATGTCCTCTCTGTCTCTGACTCCATCCTCCAAGCACTCTATACTCTCATCTGCATCCTACTCAGTGTTCTTTTTGCACACGGCACACTCAAGATGGTGGTGTTTCTCATTAGTGCCTTCCCAGGAAGATCATACATTGGTTGTACTGGGCTACCATGGGCATGTGCATGATTTGGGAAAGTCCCTAATGGTGCTAACAGTTTCAGTTGTGGTTAGAGTTTAGGAGCTTCTTGCTGCTGATTGGCTGAGTGTTGGATGGGGCAGCCTGTGGTTGCAGCAGGCAAATGGATACATGGTTGGTTGAAAAGGAGCTTGATTTTCTGAGTCAAGTCCTGTTTGTATCCTGTCTCACAAACACAAATCATGGTGCTTAAAATTCCAGTACTCATGCAGTGACTAGAAAGGTGGGCCCTTCCTAGTTGCAGTAGGCACAGGGTACTTCATCTGCTTCCCCATTTGTGAAATGAAGAAAATTGTTGCCTTCTTCTCCTTTAATAGGATTAAATGAAGGAGGGTATGAAAGGCAAGTGTCAGGTTCTTGTACACAGTAAGATGATAAGTGTTTATTTCTCTTGAATGCACTCTAGTTTTCTAATTCTAGTATTCTAGTATTCTAATTCTTTATTTCCATGTGCGAATTTACAAAAAGCAATGAAAATTTGCATACTGTTTGTTACTGATATAATTTGCAAAGCAATGCTCTCTTTTCCATATTGAACTAAAATTTTGACATTTTGGAGATAAATAAAAAAGATAATCGATTCAAATTTTCTGAGGTTTACAAACAAGATTACTAAGTAGGGTTTGGGCTACTCCTAAATTCACTTTCCACTGAGAGAGTTGGTGTTAACAGCTGGACCAAGTGGCATGGTTGATTCTTGCGGACCAGGAAGTTACAGGTGGGACACGTGGTTATAGATGGGCCAGGTGGGGCATGCTGTGTCTGTGGATGAAATACATTCACATGTGAAACTTGGATATGCTTCTCAAAATTGAAAAATGCTACATCAAGAAAGGGCGGGAGCTAACCTGTGCCTCTCATTGTTCCATATCATTCTGTAGCAATCATCATTTTCTTAAAAGGACACAAAATATGTGGGACTATAAAAAAAAAAAAAAGAAACACAGGCAAAGTAAAAAGAAAGGGAATGACTACAATACACATCTTTCTGAAGAGACCAGAAAAAGAACAACTTAGAAATTAAATCTCCCTGTGAGTCTATCAAAATGTTGAGAAAAATACATTACTAAAGAGAAAATATCAAACACCTATGGGGAGACAAATGCATGTAACTGTGAATCATGGATCACAAAATGCTTTCCTCAGGCTCCTTGATGACAACTTTATGATACATCAAGCAGTGGATTTTCCCCCATTACAGCTTATTGGACAAGCACTTCCATGAATACAGGGCTGCTGTCTACACAAGCAAGAAGAATCTTGCCCAGAGGACCGTTGGGCTAAGTTGCTAGGAAGATGTCACTCAGGCATAAAATGTATGAGATGGGAAAGTGAGTAGGACTGTGTCTATAAGGGAGCAGACTAATGTGTTGACAAAGAGTAAACCTGGTTATGGTTTTTGCGTTGAAAATCTTTGAGTGTGTTTCTGACAATAATCCTTCTGACAGCACAGAGTTTTATTTTAAACCTCACTACTACTGCCTAATATAAAAATACAGAGGTGAGAACAACTCTGGGAAATACTGTAAGCATTTGCAGGTCTCTCCTTACATCTTCTGCAACTTCACGTGTCAGTGGAAAATTACAAAAATTTACCTGAATATTAAAAAATGCATATTTGCCTAAAATAGCAAGATATTTTAGGTACAAAGGTCTTCAAATATCAGTAACTCATTATTCTGCATTCTACTTTCTATTTGTGGACAGAGTTTGAATTTCTGCAATACAAATGATCTTGGCTTTTTGGTTTGTTTCTTTATCAGCAGAACTGTACCCTAGAGTTTCACAGAATCTGGAAGATTCCAACACTGGACCTCAGTTCCTTTTTTGTGTTGCATTTTTGTTTTTTCATAAACACAGGTTTTCATTTGTAGGATGGTTAGACAATTGAGCCTCTGCTATATGAGTATATGAGAGATCTTCACAACATTCATGGAAATACTTATTTTGAAAAAAACTATACATGGACTTAAATTTTTTGCATTAAATTTAACATCTTTTAATTTCTTTTCTCTATGAACTCTATGAAGTATCCTCATATGATAATGTATCATTCACACCAACCGAGTTTTGAGAGTAAGAATCTACTCTCAGAATAGTAGATTGAGCATCTACTATATGTAATGGTGTATAATTCAAACCAACAAAACTATGAGAGTGAATCAGGTAACTGGGAATCTAGGTAAACACTTGTGAAACACTGTGCATGTTGATAGTGGGAATACAAAAAAAATTTTAAAGACTTATTTATTTGAAAAGCAGCATGACAGAGAGAGATATATAAAAAAAAATCTTCCATCCACTGGTTCACTCCCAAAATGGTCACAACATCTAAGGCTGTACCAGGTCCAAGCCAGAAGCCTGGAACTTCATCGTGGTCTCCTATGGGGGTGACAGAGACCCAGGTACATGAGCCACCTTCCACTGCATTTCCAGGTACATAATAGGGAACTAGATTGGAAGAGAAATAGCTGAGACTCAAACTGACACTCCAGTATGGGATACCAGCACTCCCTGAGGCAGATTAACCCACTGCACCACGACACCAGTCCAAGGATACAAAAAATAATATGGGAATTGTTTCTGTCCAGAAATATCTGATAAAATAAATAAGGTTTGAATTCAAAAAAGAGTCATGCAACAGTTGAGAGCATGATACTTACACTTAAGGTATGTAAGTAAGAAATCATTATTAATAAGGAATCCTAATTAACAGAGGCAGCATGACAAACTCTCAAAAATTACTGTATTTATTGACAGGCGAAAATGGAGTGAGGGAGTTTTGCTGATCTCAGCTAAAATTATGTGAAATGAATCACTGTATACCCCAAATGCTCAACCCAAAAACCCAGCACTCAGCTTGGCTCCTTTTTCCCTCACTCCAAACTTCCAGCTTATGAGAAAGTCTCCATTGGTCAATATCCAGAATGTGTTGGATCCTACCCTCACCATTTCCTTCTTCGCTGCTCCCACAGATCCTGAGCACTATCTTCTTTTTGAATATGGCAACCATATCCCAAGTGACTCCTCTGTCAACTCGTCTCCCTCTATACTACCTTCTACACGTATGAGGCAGTGCGATTTTTCTGGCACACATTAGATTGCTCACCTCTCAGTGACTCCCCGTCCTATCTCGGAAAAAAGCAAAGAAAACTTCCCGGTTTGTTAACATGGTCTTCGGCTCTTCTGACATCTCTGACCTCGTTTCACAGTTCTGCTTCTCACGGCAACACAGTCACACTGATTTTCTGTTACCCACCTCCCACTTGATGACCTTTGTGTTGGCTCTTCCTTCTATTTGGAACGCTTCTGCCCCAGATTGTCACAGTCAGTTCTCAGCTCATATATCACATCTGGTAAACACGGGTATAAAGTGGCAGTGGGCCCCCTGCCCTGCTGTTCGCCCCTCATCCCAGTGCCCTGTTTTATGAAATGAGTCAATACTGTCAAGCACATGTGGTCAGAAAGAAATGAATATATAAGCCATTTGGAGTGTTGCTGCTCTCTGAACTGGCTACTCTCAATGAGTTGGCTGGCTGGCTCCCAGTGCTAGACTGGAAACTCTGTGAAGGTGGGGGGCGTTTTGGTTTTCTAATCCTGTTGTGTTCTCTGCATCTGGAAGAGCTGTCAACAGGGCACAGACTTGGCATTTGTTGAGTGATACATGCATATTCAGTGGTATGTCTTTAAGTAAAGGAGTCCTTAAAAATTGACAGCTGTAGGAAGGTTCACACATCAAATGTATTCCAATGTTCTTTTTGGTTATAAGATTCTATAATTATAAGTAACAATTTGGGCTTTGAGAAATTATCATATAGATCTATGTCTTCAAAATTATTATGAAATTTGGACCCTATCCATTCCTGTCTAGTTTGGGATATTGACTGCGTATTTGTTTGAAGTTGTTTATGGACTTTTTAAAAAAAGATTTATTTATTTATTTGAAAAGCAGAGCTACAGAGAGGCAGAGAGAGAGAGAGAGAGAGAGCTTCCAGCAGCTGGTTCACTCCCCAGATGGCCGCAATGGCCAGAGCTGCGCCAATCCAAAGCCAGGAGCCAGGTGCCAGGAGCTTCCTCCTGGTCTCCCAAGCAGATTCAGGGGCCCAAGGATTTGGACCATCTTCCACTGCTTTCTCAGGCCATAGCAGAGAGCTGTTTCAGAAGTGGAGCACTCAGGACTCAAACCAGTAACCATATGAGATGCCAGCACTGCAGGCAGCAGCTCTACCTGCTATGCCGCAGCACTGGCCCAGTTTATAAACTTTTAAATGACTTGATTCTTATTCTCTTCTTCTTATCAATAGATCAATAATGAAATTTCACATCTTCAAGAGATGGTGAGAAGACCTCAGCCCCCAGGCTCAATTTACCTTTTCATATTCTGCACAGTATGAGCTTTGATGAAAGCACCTCATGGTTCTGCTTCTTCTTGACTCCTTGTCTGCACACAGGGCAGGACATGTCCTAATAAGTGAGTGGACACTTCACATAATTGACGGTCTATGTGTCACCGATCCATGAGCCATAAAAGCGTTTTTATAGGAATCTGCATAATCTTATCTCAAAGGAGTGATTAATGAGATGGGAATACCAGATACTTTAAAAATATATACACTTTTTTTAGGTCTAACAAGCACATATTGTGTTCTCATACTGTTCCCAGAACTATTTCGAGATACTAAGAAAGAAACTTCTCACAGAGAAGTTATTATCTAGCTTGCTATTTAGATCAGGGATTCTTAACTTTGGAACTATTGACATTTTGAGCTGAATAACTCCATGCTGGGGAGAGGGATACTGTACTTTGCTCTGCAGAATGCTAGCAGCAGCCCTGACTTCTACCCACTACATGCCAGAGGTCCTCCCAACCCCTCGCTGTGACCATAAAATCTTTAGACATAGCCAAATGTCTTCTGGGATCAAAATGCCCCTGAATGAGAGCCACTGCTCTGGATAAATAATTTCAGTCCTTGTGGAATGGGTAGTGATTAGAGCTTTGTCTTTAAGGACACTGTAAGAGTAAATTGGGATTCTATCTATTTGTGGTGTTAGGCTTTCAGGAACACCCGCAGAATTAGAGATTTGAACTGGAAGTGACATGGCTCACTAGGCAAAACCCTTTAGCAGTTCCATGACATTAAGTCTTAGAGATGTTCAGGATTGCCTAAGTTCATAGTTACTAGAGGCAGGATTAGACCCATCTCTCCTGACATTCGTCAGCTTCTTTCCATCTTACTTCACTGCTTCTGGATAAAAGAGGCATTGATATTGACAGCACGGTGCTTGGAACTATGACCTTCACCATTTTCCATGGGGACTCATTTTGACAAACACCACTTACGCCAGTTTCCATGATTTAGTCAACTGCAGAATGAGGCCAGGTGGGCCTCCTGCCACTTCAATTCTCTCCACTCTGTTGAGCACACTTTCAGCTTGCTCTCTCCATTTCTTGTCATTCCAATAACCAGGGCATGATTTATATTTTTCTTGAAAAGTAGCTAAGTGAACACTATTCTTAAGCAAAACTTAGAGATTCCTAAACTCTAACTTAAATAAATCTGAACCTTTCTTTTTGTGTGAGTGAATAAAAATCTGTAAATATTTTTCACACTGTTGAGTGGTGCCTTGTAACATATTCTCACAAATATTGGTAATAAAAACAGTAACACATTTTTATTAAGCATATACTAGCTTCAGGGCACAATGCTAACCCCTGAAAAAAACCTGAAAATCAGTGAAACACATACCCAGGAAGAAATTCATAGATAAATCAAACTAAAGCAACAATTAGAAAGTGGCCTTTTCATGACTCTGTAGGTAAAATGCTAGGAGAGTGAAGAGAAATAGAGAAGAAAATTGAAAACAAGTGTCCATCACAAACACACCATACTTGTTACTGGATGACTTTCCCACATTCATGAAAATTATCATGAAAACCATACAAGTGAAGGCAGATAAAAGGAGAGCAAGACAAACCACCAAACACTGTAATGTCATCATATAAAAAATGAGTGAAGGGGGGGACATGGCACCTAGAGTAGGAACAGAGCACCATTGATTCAGTAGATATGTATGAAAGAACGAAGATTGGGGCCAGCTCATAGCGGCCCTTGAATGTGAAGCCAAGGCATTTGAACTTCATCTGTTAGCCATAGGATTTGTAATCCATGGAGACATGACTGCACATGTGTGATTCACCATTCTTTTCCTGAGACACTCTGTGGATTTCATATGTGGACCTAGAGTCCCACTGTAGAGAAAGCACAGCTAATGTGCCTTGGGAAGATCAGCAGCAGCAGCATGCTCATGGAGAGAAAGAAGAGGGTGTGTTTCTTCGATCCAGATAAGATCATCTTGGTGTAGAAAAACAGACGCTGTGCATTCCTGTGCTGTGCCCCCAAACTGGGTCCAGATAGTCAAGTTCACTCAGGAGCCAGAACTGCCTCCAAGTAAAGCCAACAGGCAAACAATATCATCCGCGTCCTTTTAACAAGAAAGAACTTGTTAAAAAGATCAATCCTAGCCGGCGCCGCGGCTCACTAGGCTAATCCTCCACCTTGCGGTGCCAGCACACCAGGTTCTAGTCCCGGTCAGGGCGCTGGATTCTGTCCCGGTTGCCCCTCTTCCAGGCCAGCTCTCTGCTGTGGCCCGGGAGTGCAGTGGAGGATGGCCCAAGTGCTTGGGCCCTGCACCCCATGGGAGACCAGGATAAGTACCTGGCTTCTGCCATCAGATCAGCGCAGTGCGCTGGCCGTAGCGTGCCAGCCGCGGCAGCCATTGGAGGGTGCACCAACTGCAAATGGAAGAGCTTTCTCACTGTCTCTCTCTCTCACTGTCCACTCTGCCTGTCAAAAAAATAAAATAAAAAATAAAAAGATCAATCCTTAGGCCCCACTGCAGACCTGTTGAATCAGAAGCTCTGGGTGTTGGGACCCCCAGGTGATTCTGTGGCACACCAACTTGAGAACCACTGTTCTAGAGAAGAAAACATTGTTCTGAATGTGAAATGAAAAATGTCTGCTTTTCTTCCCAGATAGAATATCTGATCAGGCTGCCTTTAAAAAAAAAAAGGAAAAGAGGAAGGGAGGGAGGGAGGGAGGAAGGGAGGAAGGGAGGGAAGGAGGGAGGAAAATGAAACTATTGCCTTAAGAAACATAGGTAGTGTTTGAACCAGTCTAAGTTTAAGACATAATCTGATCATAACTAATAGGGGAAATTAAATCCAATCTTCCATTAGCTTAGCATATTTCCTTATTCCTATGACAGGGAAAAATGATCTATGGAAAACCTGATTTAAATCCACAAAAAGGACAATTTAAAGTACATTGTTACCTCTTTGATTTTAAAATATGAATTTATTAAATTTCAGAAAAATTCTGACAGGACCTTTGGAGTTACACAGGATAATGTTCTATAACCAAAAGACATTATGATAAAAACCAAAGTTTATTTCAAAAATGCTATCTGATGCACCAAAACTGCATTTTCCTTTTAGCTGGAGCCTAGAGGGTAGGCTGGGAGAGTTACATTGAAAAGTAATTGAACTTGAGTGTTATGTATTATTCTTTCTTTCTGTGCAAGGATGACTTGCTCATCTTCCACTGATGTTCACAATGATCGATTTCAGTTCAGCCACATCAACTTTTAATCAATTCTGAACTGTATATGAGCATCAGTGAAGGCTTATCTCTGATATAATACTTTATAAAACTGCATTTTTTGAATTTAACCCTTACATTATTAAAATATAGATTGAGAAGAAAAACACATATTATACACACATACACACCACACACACACAGACACACACCCAATACACATATATCTGTAATTAGTAATAGAAATAATATACAACTAAAATAGGAGGGTATTCAAAAAGTTCATAGAAAATGAATATTATGAAAAAACTGTGGGTTTCAAAAACTTTTTGCATCAAAATAAACTTTAATTCTTTTTTTTTTCCATGAACATTTCGCAATATGCTTCTATATTCCCATTCTACTTCAGGAATTGCTATTGAAGTGTCTGGACATTTCTAGTGATCTCTCTATTGGGAAATCCAAGAGATTAAATAAAATAACTACCCTTTTCCCAAACTAAGAGACTCATGTAAAACAGACTCCGTTCAATGCTTTCAAAAGGAACTGCTTAAAATGGGTCATCCTATATTAAGTCATGAAGTAAACAACCAAGGGAATTTGTAGGACATCCAAGAGGTTGTGTCATATGAAAGTTAAATGGAAAAAAGAGATCAAATAC